GCTCGCTTCATGACACCGCATGCTCTTCACCGCAAAATGTAAATGATCTCTACCACCCCTCACTACTTAAGTTGGAGAAATGAATGGTATAGCCTTCATTTTCCTAGATTTTAGTAAACAAAATCAATAAATCGATAGAAGACCCAGCGAATTGTCGAAAAAAGTAGCCTATCTGATGCGCCGTGTCTCATTTATAAGGGAACAAAATTCAGCCTCTTTGGTTCACATACAAAGGAGTCTATAAGCCACAAACATCCTAACAAACACGGTACAGTGTTTGAGTTTTATATATATATAGATATAGATATAGATTTATGCCAGTTAGTGACAGCCCGGGAGGACTTAATTTGCACTGCGCCAAAGTCAAAAAGCACAATTTTGCAAAAATGCACAGTAACATATTCTGCAGGTCTGCTAAATGGTTTCAGCGGTTGCCTATGGATGTTATGTATTCTATGACTGCACGCTCCTTCAGGGCTAAGTTAATGAGAGCTGACACACAGCTTGCATCCCTGAGCTTTCTGGAATGATTTTAATTTTGTCTTTCAGTTACCACTTCTTCCTCTTCTTGGCTTTACGGCTGTTGGTGTTACTAGCAGGTCGGTTTTCGGTCCGCACGGTCATCTTTTGGAGCAGAGTCCTGGGGTTCTTCATTGCAGCTTGATTCTGTAGCCTGGTTTTATGTATTGGTTGTTACTAACCATAAGCATCATTAACGAACCAGCCCGGCTCATTCGTCAGAAGCTTTATGACACCTTATTACCTTAACGAAGTTTAGTTTCCCATCTAAGTCACCCCAGATGGTGTCCGTCTGATTAAGTGCCTTCTGGAGTAGTTGGTAGAAGTTTTGCCACTCTTAACCTGAATCTTGCTTTTTCTAAAATAGATCTTTAATGGGGTTAGGTCAGCTAACATTACTGGCGGTCTCGTTGACACCCAAAAAAGGCATCTTTGATTCTAGAGTATGCAAGATTCATGTGATTGTTTTTGGTCAAGTTACTTTCATTCTACTTTCCAAGCTGGGTCTACAGCTTCGTGTTCTGTTTTATTCCGTATTTTCTCTTATATTCTCTTGCGGCTGAGGACTGGCTGGTCTCATTTGTCTGTTTGTTTGGGTCTTCTTTTTATTTCTTTTCTTATTCTGGTGCACCTCGAGTGTACTTATAAAATAAAAATAAAAATAAAAAATGCCCAAAAGGAATGTGTATCCTTAGACGCATCTTTAAATGCTGATTCTAAATCTGCTTTCCGTTTTTGCAAATCAAATCTCTTAAAAATGGTATGAACGTTTGAAAATCCAAAACTGTCAACTCTTAGGTGGCATAAAATTAGCGAAACCTGCACACAAATACCTGTAGATTGGCGATCAATTTCGTGTCTATATTGTCTCCAAGGAAGGAAAAGCCGGTGGAAATCCGCATAAGTGTTGTTGTAAAGCTTTGTACTAATTTTAAGCTACTTACAGCTTGACAAATTTGGACATGGAAAGCTCATATCTTTTGGAGACTTTTTCAGAAGAAACGGAAAACAGTTTTAGAATCAGCGTTTGAAGACGCGTCAATTAATTTACATCTCTTCTTGGTATGCCGGATTATGTTGATATCCTTCCCTTGTGTCGCCAGCGACAAGAAAAAACAAGTAGAGGCTGCTGCATGACGAAGGCGCAATACCTTTGGGCACGAACGCGGCTTCATTAGCCGCAGAGCGCAGGAGGCGCAGGATTTACAACGGTGAGGATACGCGCGCCGCGTTCGCGCCCGCTCAACTAATCGGCTATTGCGCCTTCATCATGCAGTAGCTTTTAATCACTCGAGGTTTGCAAGATGCAGTATCCTCGTTCTTGCAACTGTACTTTACGTGAAAACAGCGCGACCGAGTTCAGGGCGGCAGCTGCACCAGATGGTCGCGGAATGCATGGCAGAGGGGAAACCAACCGGCGAGTAGAGAGTCAAATTGGTCGTTTGGCCGCTTGGTGGCGTTTTCAACCATTTATCCATAAAGGCAATGGATCGGCAAAATTTAACAACTCAGGACTTCAATGGGATAGGTTCCTTATCGCTCAGGTATGAAAACAGTGCAATCCTGGTTGCACCGCATGCCTTTCCTGCCTAGAAAAAGGCTCTAAACTTACACGCGCAAGCCAATCTTACACGCATCTGGACGAGTTGACAATTTCCTCCTCACCATTGGAGGCTGCCTACCGCAATGCTATAACCATTAGGTCCCGCAACGATCCAGCATCACCAGCCTTGCTCCACTCGTCCAATTCCGAAGAGAAGGGCATTGAAAAACGCTCGTTTTCGCCGTTTTCAAGCTCACAGAAGTGGATTTTCGAAATCAGCGTATTGAATAACCGCAGGTAAGCGACAATTTGACTAGGTTGAGACTGCCGAGCCACTGCCTTTAACAGCTTTTTGTGTAGTCGTGAAACTGTAGAAGTTAACGCTTGCAATCTCACTCGTTCGTTATTAGGCTTTGCAGCAGTCGATCAGTTTCTCATCTATACAAGAAAGAAAATTCATTTTACCATTTGGATAACTTTCGATCTCGGGACTGACAAGTGTTGCAAGTGAGCAAGATTCACTTTTGCAGGCACTTATCTTCATACTATTTTCTGTCGACCATTTATTTGACTAACTGTTATTTTTGGATGCTATTCTTGTTACATTTAATGAAATCGTCATTTTTATCATATATTACAAGTGAAGTAAAGGTCTGATTTTAATTAATCAAGTTTGAGGTGTTGGTGTATTGGTCTCGAGATACAAGCCCGCGTGGCTATCGTGGGTGTAAACGACTAATGGTATTCGAAGTTTTGTCGTTATACGTATCTCTCGGACAATAATTATTACATCTTTGTAAGTGTTAATAGACTTTTGTTTGCTGGCTTTACCACTTACTCTGCAGCTGCAATCTTTTATACCCGTAGTAGAGATCTTTTTGCAAAAAACTGCATTTGAAATATTGGTCCTCCCACTGCGATTCGCGAAAGGAACGTCTTGGTTGTATTAAAGGCAGCGCCCGGGCAAGATCATCCACCCAGATTAGCACATAGTTGTAAAGCGAGCCCCATGAGTGTCCTGCGTTGGTCCGATCCTTTAAAGTGGCCTCTAGAAGGAGATACGGAGTATCAGAAACCTCCCCCTGAAAACATGTGCTCACGCATCGATCAATCATGGGTACCAACTGCACCCATGCAGTTGCAGCCTCATAGGTGGCGAGCCGGGGGATAAATAATCCGAAACACGTCCGCGCCCTAAAACAGGGTCCCGAGGAATTGAATTTTGTGAGGGTTTTGGACAATTTGAACATTATTACTGTAACCAGGGCCACGGAAAGGCCCTAGAACGACAAAAATGAGAGGCGAAATTTTGCCCGGACGCTGCCTTTAAGGACGCATCTTGCTGTATTCCGCATTTTTCATGCCGTTACTCGATTGCACTGCGATATAAAGCTTTCTCAGAGCTTGTCGCTTAAAGGCACCGTCCACCCAAAATTTTGACCTCCATATTTTTGCCGTTCCAGGGCCTTCTCATACCCCTGATTCCGAATATTAAATTGAAAATCCGCGAAAACCACTAAAACCCCCGTTTTCAGAACCCGCAGAGCGATTTCTTCGGTACGGTGATTGGTTGGGCGCGCACGGATGGGGGCGGGGGGACGAATGTCACGCACACTCCGAAAGGGGAGGAGCCAGCGTCGCGAACGCGGCCTGAAGCGATTTCCGAAGCAATTTTCTCGGTTCGGAAGCAACTTCAGGCAGCGTGAGTGGGGCAATCATACTGTTGGGGGCCCTGCATCTGCTAGGTATTCATAATCTCACCAACCCCAATTTGGGTGGACGGTGCCTTTAAAGTGCAATGCGATCACAACCATTTGCAAGATAGTTACAGTTTGTCGAGTCCACTACTTTCAAAAACCTTTGGCTTGCAGGAAGTGACGGTTGTTAGAAAAAACTACCTAAATTACTTTCGGAACGACCTCATATAAATAACACACGTATTCACGTGGCATCCCAATGATTAGCTCCGCGCTTATCAAAATAAGAAGGAGGTTTGAGGGTCTGAGGGTCATTTTGCACCCTAAATTCTAAACCAAGGCCTTGGAATGGTTCGAGAATGACACAGGAGAATTTACAATTTGCCCTTTCAGTAGTTGCTTACGAATCTTGCTGTAGAATCGACCTCTAAGGGAGAATAAGGGAGAATAGCTGTAATATGGTTGTTTACAGAAGAGAACGTCGCAGTAGGAGAGGCTTAGATCGAGCTGATACGGCGCGGGCAACCTAAGGAGGCGAGAGGAAGTAAGCGAAAAGACGCCACCATCTGAAGCGGTATGCTCAACACCCTACAGTCGACCACTGCTCATTACTCCTACAGATTACTCGTTTTCCGACAATAAACCCGCTTTAATCGTTATTCAACTGTTCTTCTGATAAACAGTCATATTTTACGTTCTGATGTTGAGTTCTGTCACGGCAAGTGAGGGCCCAATACTTACTCTTCTACCATGTCTCAATGCGTCTCTATCGTATATCGTTACCGCAGCAAATGGGGACATTCACGTTTGGTAACAGTGAACTTTTTGCTCTGTTAATAAACTTCCACATGTTGAACAAGCTTCTTGTTCAAAACCGCTTTTCACTTCTAGGCAAACTAGTGAGGAACTGTCTACAAGACGAGAAGGATTAGAAAAGCTTATTTCAACACAATCACTACTCCCTTTTCGCCCTGCTTACTCGAAACATCACTTTAATACAACAATTGTGAAAGTATTTAAGATTTAAATTTTAGTAAAAGCTCTTCGAGCATGCACAACTCGTCAGCCTTTTTCATAAGAGCTATCAAACTGATATTAAGCTGATTACAAAGACGCATCCTTTCCTTTTTGCTGCGTTCTTACGTTTTTACTATTCCGTGGCGCCCTTCTTGGTATTGAATAATAAATGATATCAAACAAATGGGACTTGAAAATGCTTTCTCTTCATAGGAAGCTTTTACCTGGAAACGGAAGGCTATCTTTGAAACTCGTGGTGCTTTGCTGATACGTATCACTTCAGATGCGTCGTCTTTACGGTCGATGTCAAAGATAATATAGGTCTGAAAACTAAGCTGGTTACATTGCAATGATTTACTATTTGTATTGGGGTACAGATGGTGGAAATTACCTGATCCAATGTGAGCAAAGGTTTCACAGTTTCATCACGAGTAACAGGAAGGGAATAGGACGCCAACATGTTTGAAGAAGTGAAGAAAATGAAAAGACCACCACAAGAATGAGAGGCGGTTGCTCAAAACAACAATGGGTATCATCATTTACTACACAATGAAAAAAGAAGGTAGTGCAGGCTTACATGCATGAGTCCACCCTACCGCATCACATAATATATCATCTCCACGAATCATGTAGAGGCGGTTATCCCAGCTCAAAGCGTGGCGGTTTTTGTTGGCGAGAGAGTATGAAAAATGCTATAACATAAAGGTTCAACAATTTCATTCTTATAATCAGGGAAAGTTCCAACCCGCCTTTACGCGATTTGGATCCTATGACTCTCGAATTATCGAAGCTTAGGTGTTAAAGACACTATCCCGAGCAACTTGTTTACGATTTTGTTGACACCTAGTAGAAGGTCGATACTCCATATCCTCATCGAAAAGTATGGATTATCAAATCACTACTCATCAAGTGATTCTTTTTTTGAGACTCTCAGCATCATCTTAGTGACTTGAATGAAATAACAATTGTGCATCCCTGCTCTATTAATAGTTTTCTGTGCAGTTTCTTCCTTGCTGCACATGTATAAGTTTATTGGATTACTCTACAGTTTTTAGTCTCAACCTATGGTACGAAGTAAAAGTGAAAGTCTCTGTATTCATTCCGAAGTGATGGTTGGAATAAAAAAATTAAGTTTGTAGCGATTGGCCGGCAATCCCAGTCACGTTGGGGTCAAGGCATCAAGTGATCTTGCCGGATCATGCCGATCTTGGTATGAAGAAAAAAGTATGTCATATTTCTCACAGCCGCACCCACCCTCCTCTATTCCTTCCTGCTTCGCTTATCCAGCATGCACCAGGCCGTGCCACCTGACGACATGCTGCTCCGCAGGCCTCCGATACCAGCATTGATGCTGTGTGGTTTTTATAAATCCATGTATGGTTTTAAATTATCGCTTCCTTCCTACTTAAAGGCAGTGTCCCGGCAAAATTTCACTCCACTTTTTTTCACCTCTTCGGAGCCTTCTCGCTATGCCTAAACCATATCTGAACTTTTCAGCGCTTGAAAATGGCAAAAATGAGTTTTTTTCGAAGCTCTTCGTGTCCGCATTCGCTCCAAATCACGTGTAAGAAGCGGGCGGGGTCTGGAAATAGGCGGAATCCGGAGGACTTCCGGAGCGGATTTTAGGCTTTCCAGAGGCGTTTTTTTTGCTTCAGCCTTCACTGATAGACTATCTGGAGGGTCTACCATTGAAACACTGTGAAATTACGGTAACCATCATTTTGACGGGACGCTGCCTTTGAGAAATGAGTTTTACTGTTGTTATAAAAGCATGAATATGACTTGTCAGTAGTAGGTTATAGTTCATTACTACTGCAAAATGCCACAATAATTATTGAAATCGATAGGAGGGTCCAGCTTGACTCAAAGAATGGCCTATGAAAATTTCCGGAAACATAAGTTTGCAAAGTTTCAGCTCAATGGGTTCACGGAAGAAGATTATAAAAATCAGTTATACACATCTACTGCACTCACAGGTTTTCTGCTTCACAAAAAAAGGCCCCTAATAAACCTTCGAAATATGTTGTGATGTAAGAGAAACAAAGTCCTGATGCGTCCAACTGAAATACATGCTGCTCACGACCATGTCTTGGTCGCCGAAAGCTTGAGGGCGCACGCTTGGTCAAACACTTCGATGGTTGTCGACGGCGCGCACTGATGCTGCGCTACTGATATCTCTTCGATGTCAAGAAATCAAAGTTGAAGATAAGGAAGCGAAGATGCGACCGACCGTCGCTTGAGACATTTTCCGAGCAAATCGATAAACAAGCTTAGGGAGTGACCATAGGTTGCCGGCAATGGTTGCCGAGGTTGCTGAGGTTGCTAAGGTTGCTGGTTGCCGAGGTTGCCGGCGTTGCCGGGGTCAGAGAGAGCTTAGAGAGCACGCGGAACGTGGAGGCTATCATGTGGTCCTACAGCGACCAGCAACCTCGGCAACCGTTGCCGGCAACCTATGGCCGTTCGGTTAGATGTGTGTCCTTGCATGTACGATGTAAGAGTGTGCACTGCTTCACCACGTTCACTTTAAGGCGCATAATGGCAGTGTTACAAACGGGGCGAATAGCGCAGCGCCAGTATTGGAGGGCGCTGAACTAACGGTGGCGAATACGGGTACCAAGTAAGATTATCTTTTACAAGTTGCTGGTCAATTGATTTTTATGTCTAGCACATTCGAAAAATCGTGACGATGGCGCGACCGCGAGACGCACGCTTCCGGATACCGCATTTTCTCGATTCTCATCTCTACTCCAATGGTTTTTCTATTTACGTATGATAGTACTTAAACACCAGAAGACTGAGCTGAGCGTTGAGGGATGCCTTTTTGTATGAGTGTTTTATGCTCTTGTGCGCGCAAAAATCGCAGTAGAATCCGTAGTCAGTAGTCGTCGCGATCTTACAAACGATCTTTAAGTGAATGTGATTTGCCAATTTTTTTGGCTATAGGGGGAAAATGTCAAATCAAAGCATAAAATATTAACAATACACAAGACAAATTGCAATATTATGAAACAATCACTTTTTCGGTTGGTAAAAAAGGGTAAGGCTAAGCGTACAGCTAATGAACAGCAAATCAGCAAATATATTATAAAAGGTGCTAAGATGGAAGAAATAAGAAAACTGAAACATGCAGAAAAATTTGATGATTTGCACAAAGTTGCAACGTGAGAATAAAAAGAAAAAATAGTTAAAACACGATAAGAGAATGACTAGAATTTGGATGTCATTTAAAATCAAAATAAACTCACCTCAAATCACAAAGAATATAGCAGTAGAAATCCTCAGAAAACAGAAAAAGTCGCACAGCGCGTTAACGTTTGGGCGCTTATCAGCTGTTGATTTTGATTGCATTTGGCGTGCGCTGAACCTAGTGCTTTGTGTCTACGGTCCTCGCGCACAGGACGAACGCGGCACACTCGACCCCTAGTCGGTTGCGCCTTCCGCGTTTCCACGGTATGCGCACTATTTTTCTTTGTCTGCAACTCAAGTGAAGACGTTCACGACGTGCTCGTCCTCTGCGCACGAGGTTGAGGTTCTGCAGTCACGACGTCCAGCGATTTCGCCGCGCTGCAGTGATAAGAGATAGCCGCCGAACTCGCGGCCGAAACGACATGTACTGGTACGTGCGATGCTTCGGACGTCGCGAACACCTAGAGGGGGGATTACTACGGCCTAGCGTGTCCCAAATTTGCGCACACTGTTTGATCTTCAAAAACTTTTTGCTTCAATGTTTTTTACCGACTTTTAAGCACCATTTTGTAGAGCTGGCCTCAGCTTAGATTTACAATAAGTTAGTGTAGGATTGTAATGCTCTGCCCGCTGTACCGTGGGTAATCGACGATATCCGTGAAAATATTTTTGGGCAACAAAGCATACGCAACTTACCCTCTTTCAGCTGAATCAATCTCTCGCAGAAGTTTTTAGATATAAGGCATTTCCGTTGTATCCATTTAACCTTCCCTAATCTTAGCGAAAATCCCCAAATTGCTACAGTGATTTCAATTCCGTTATTGCATCGTTCGTGTTCGCAAATGTCAACTACTTTTAGCAAAATATCAAAGGACCTTCAAACAATTAAAGATTATTATTATCTACTACAACTAATGTCATTATCTCAAGCGACGAATTCTCCTCTCTGTTCTACATCAGATGTTGAACTAGATTTATGCTCTGAACCACCCCACAAATGCACAGTCAGTGATTATATGACGTAATCAACATATTTGTCTCACTTACTGACTAATCAATCACGTTTAGTCTTCATATCCAGAACCTCAAATGAGGTCGGTGCCCAGCAGTTATACTTCTCAGTCCTTCAATCTTTGCTTCAGATGGCGAACGAAGCATACCAGAAAGTTGTTTCCATGATTGATAGGACCGTCAATGATGCCGGTATTCTACTGCGGCACCTCCAAGACCGTCCACAACGGAGTTCGTCTGCCAGCAATTATAGCTCATATGGTAAGTACGCACGATTGCGTAGATTCCGATGACACCAGTAATGTAAAAACTCGCAGGAGTAAGAGGCACAGCAAGGGCTAAAACAAATGACTCCTGTAAAACGCCGCCTTCACCTAGCGCAAGCACTTCTGGATCGGCCCATACACCTCCATACTCAAGGTAACGTTTTTAGGCTTACAGACGATGAGCCTGCGTTTAATGTTGAAAGCAAGCTCATGTGAGTAAAATCTAGTCCTGCTTTGTTTCCGAATTTGCAATCGGATGCTAACGCAGTTTTGAGCACCGCCATTATTAGAGCTATCAATGCTTCTGTAGGCCTCGCATCAAGAACGACCACTGTGCGACTGCACCATAGTCCTCTCCAATGTTAAAGATGCTTTTCTTTCTTCCTTGTTGATTAGAAGCCATATGAATCATTTTCCATATGCAGTGGCTGCAAGTCGGTTGCCTATTTAACGCTAGCACTCGATGGTTCTTTGGAAATGTCATAGAATTAGCGATGGAGATGCATCAGTTGATGACAAACAGTAAAGAATCACCAGGGGTGGTAGTGATTTCGTCGAAACCAACAAATGATGTGATAGTTCAATCATGGTTACATCGTGGCAAGCATGATCATCTTTTCACGGCCACTCAGTTCAATGGGTCATACAAAACCGTGAAACAAGCAAGTAACTATCGGAAAACCATAGCTGTTTCATGCTTGTTTCATTCTAAACCAAACTATGAATTGATCAGCAGGTAAACATCATTGTTTCCTTATCAGGTAGAGTAATGAAAACAGCACTTCATTTCATGAGACGGACGTGAAACCATCATATCATAGTTTAAAATGAAAAAGTACCCCCGACCACTTTTTCGTTTAAAACAATGATGTGTTGGTTTTGCAAGTCAAGAAGAGTGAGGGAGATCATTCTGCAACTTACTACGAGAAAGCTTACTTGTTTACAGCTTACAAGGGAACGTGTCGAGTCGAAGTGGCCTTCCCAGATGAGACCATACTGCTTTGAAGAGTATTAAGCGGTGATTCCAAATCTGCCTTCCGCGCCTCTGGACGCCGAGTTATGACCGTTCTTCGGAACGAAAAATGAATGCAGAATTTAGGTAAAATTGATTGTTACAATCTTTCCAGCGCTCAGATAAAGCAATGTTGTGTATTAGCATATTAAATAAAATGTATCCATTGCATAAACAGCTCTGGTGCCTGACACTGGAACAGTTGAGCAAATTTGGGCGATTTTGCCTCAGTTTTGCGTTCAATTTTTTGACCTGAAAAACGAGCATAACTCAGCGTCCAGAGGCGCTTGGCAGATTTGGAAAGCAGATTCGGAATCACCGATTAATGCTGTTCAAAGCAGTATGAGTCTTATCTGGAAAGGCCACTTCGACTCGACACTGTTCCCTTGTTAGATAAGGTTATATATAGGAAGGTGCAAGGCTGGAGACCGAAATGCAAGTTTGGTAAAGTGCAGTGATTGCGGGCAAGCATGAAAATGGCTGGAGTTTCGATCTCCTCCAATGACTTTGCTTTGCAAGATAGCATTTCGAGGTTTCCTATTGGTTAATTCGTGGTTTCGTTGGGAAAATGATGTGAAGCTGCTGGTTAGCTAGAGTCTTGAAAACCCAGTTAACATGATGGTTTCGACCAAATTACTACCACTCCAGATTTTTGAATTGGTTTGATGTCTACCTATATGCTATGTGTCGCTTCCATTTGCGAGTCAAATCACATGCAAATACTATTTTTAGAGCACGTATGCACCTACATCCGCGCTGGGGAAGGGAGAGGATCTGAGAGGGGATGCGTCATATTTCGATATTTCAAATACTGCTCTTCTTTTTCTGTCTGTGTTGTAAAAGGTTCTTATAACCTGAAACTCGAGTACAATGGATGGCAGAACTTTACCATATATGAGATTTTCACTATTTCGTTTGATCCTAGGGAGCTCCTCTGGATAGGAGGGCAAGCGTTATTCGACAAAACGTGCAAAACGCAAGCAACGTAAATCCCGTAACTCGGAACTATGCACCATTTTTTCATTGGCGTCGGGTAATGTATCGGCCCCGACCCCCACCCCCCTGTTTTTGGCGGAGGAGACGTTTTGCACGGGGAATTCTTTGGGGTCCAAAAAATTGAGTTTGTCGCCTAACGCCCTACACCCCTCTGGATATCACCCCTTATTTCTTTCTATAAACTCGATGAAAAGGTATAAATTAAACTAAGGGTCATACTATGGCATTGCTAAACATGTTTATCTATATATTAGGGTGAACGGTAAAAAATGGGACAGCTTGATTTTCATTACATTTTGGAATTTTTTGTTTCTGGCAACAGCAAGTAAGCAGCAACTTAAACGTCGCTTACATGGGCGACCTTCGCTTATTATTCTGACAACGCGTTAACGCTCCTCTTCCACTACCCTACACGTGGCGCCGTGAAGAACTCGAACAGGGTTTTTTGGACAATCCTCAATCTTGCGCTGTTATACCGTAAAGTCATAAAGCAAATGACAAACCATTCGAAAGAGCTCTTCATGCTCTTTCGAACGATACGTTAAATGCATGAGATTTTTTTTTCAATTTCAGAAAAAAAATTCGAAAAAACCTGAAAAATAGCTATTTTGGCGCAACAAAAAACCAAAAAATCATGTTTTGCCCTATATTTTCCGAAGATAGATAAAATCTGAAGTAAGCTGCATATGGATGGATAGAGCGTAAAAAGCTCTATCAGATGATACCTAGAAATCATGCGTTTACCTGCAAAGAATTGAATAACGCGTATCTTTATTCTCGAAGCTGTTAATGGGCATATCTCCTGACATTGAGAGTTAAAGCCACCAAGCCGTCGTGGGTGGTGACTGTCCCACCACTCACTCCAGCAGTGGTACTTTGGGTGGTCTCACATGTTTCACTGCGCCGATACTGCTCAAACTTCACAATTTCTCGAAGTAACTAACTTTGCATTTTAGCAAGTATAAAAATTATCAATTATTTAAATGAACTTATATAGGTGCTATCTGAAAGAGAATAAGTTATTCTAATATCCATCAAAATTGGAAAGTTCAGTCACTTTTCTTCCTTGAGAAATCTGCAATTATTCTCAAGGTGTCCCATTTTTTACCGTTCACCCTAATATATATAAAACTCAAAAATTGTCAGTTTGGAGGGTATGTGCGTTATAGAAACGCGCGCCGCTCAACCGATTAAGCTGAAACTTTACACACATATGTTTTCGAGCCTTGCGCAGATGATAGGCTACTTTTTGCAGCGATTCGTTGGGTCCTTCTATCGATTTATTGATTTGCAGCACTTTGCAATAAAAATGATTCTTATCATTTGCTATCAAAACAGGGGTATGTAAACAAGGCTGGCATGTCTCATTGTGAACTTCTGTTGACGAAGTGCAGTGAAAAGTGTTCTTCATGTGAGTCTCAATTGCTCATTTAAATGGATGCACTAAATGTATCTTATGCGGAAACCTTAGCGTGCAAGAGACCATGAGTGCTTTGTAGCGAGTGTTTTGTACGGAAGCGTGCTCAATTTACGCTTATAATCAATGCTTTCTTCGTTACATGCTCAATTTAAACAATGAGGGGTCAAAATTTTTCATGAGATTGCGCACAAATTATTTGTCAATACCAGAAATAATGTCAAGACAAGCGACAATTCACATTCGCTATAGTTGATCCCTTGGACCAGGAAAGTGCGCGAGTGCAAAGTACTGCCGACTCCACAAAAATTGACGGCAAGCAGTGAATGAAGATGAAGTAGCCGATTAACGGCAAAGTGTCACAAAAAATGATCCTCATAATAACAATGAGCGCTGCTATCAATTAACTCGCGCTGCTTGCTTAGGTTTTGCGTGTTGAACTTGATTTGGAGAAAGAGAGATATGCTACCGACTAATAAGTGTTCACATTTTGTTTTTGTTCTTTACACAGTTTCTACAATGCCACCGAATACCTTATCTTCATTCCCGATCAGTGATCATTCCCGGGCTGGACCGGGCAGATCAGCTAGTATCAGAAATTAGTGAAATTTTTAGGATATCGAAATCTTCGATGAACCGTTGTTCGCGAGCTGAGGTTCATCGAAAAATTCACAACTTGCATAAGCTATTAATTTTATCGAAATTTCTCCAGCAGTGCTATCGTAGATCCTCAGTACAACTTTACGACGTTTCATCGTTACTGGAAAGACTTTTGAAACAATAGGTGAGCCCAGGAAATCATACGAAATAGTGAAAATCTCAGCTTGTATGGCGATGCTCTACCATTTACAAGAACCTCTTTAACACGGACAGCAAAAGAAAAAACAGCTAACTTGAGAAACTCGGCGGTTCATAATACGCAAAGAATGTGCGCCTTGCATCCAACCAAGATAGCTCGTGCATGGGAGAGACAGCAGATGGTAAGAGAGACGAAAGAACGCTTGACCAGAGAGACGCCGATATGTCCGCAATCCTTGCGTGCGAGTATCGCCTATATGACGCGTTTCCTCTCAGAACTTCTCCCCTCCCAGCGGGGTGCGTGCATACGGGTCTTAGACCAAGTACACTTTTTCTTACCCTAATTTCACGCGTACAAGGCGCGGGGTGGTCCTAGCTTTCATCGACCAGCCCGAACACGGCAAAGGACTTCGCAACCAAAGGAACCCCATACCGTGCTGCGTTTTGCCTGACGAATCGTGCCGCATAAGGATCGCTTCTTAAAGCACGTTGGAGCGGCTGAGCAGCTCGATGAAAGCTAGGACCACCTCGCGCCTTGTACGCGTGAAATTAGGGTACCTATAATGGGGAAGGGGGTCTCCACCATAGCAGATTCATAGAATCTTATAATCATAACTGTACGAGAGCGCCCTCTAGTGCTGCGAGCAACAATCTCCTTCTTAGAAAGCCAGAATCGTTGTGTTGTTTCACGAGAAAAAGTTAGGCTTGTAACCGATGATATGCAACCTAGAGTTTGGCCAGCACATTTTGGCTAGTTACCATGCCGCCCTCAATTTCTCCCCTTCTATGAGATTCCAACGAGTCAAAAGACAGTATGCACTGTGCAAAGGTTCCGCAGAGCTTCTCTTTTTGAGAATTGCAAAACGTTGCTTGAACAAAGTGCTAGTCGAAAACGTTCTTTCAAAAGGTAGTGTCATTTGCTCTATTTGTG